ATTGTATACAGTATATAGCACTTCTGCTTATTTGACATGTATAACCACCTCCACAGTTAATCAGTAACCAAACAAAGAATCTGAAAAGAAGCGCGATATAATCTCACTGTGGTCAATTTAAATCCTATTAGATTAAAATGATTCTTGTAAAAACAACTTTGTATCTAAATTGTTACTTACAGAGACGAGGTCACATGGCATTTCTTTTAGGTGATGGACAAAAGAAAAGCTAAAAATAAGGAGARGAATGCAGCTGATTTGTCAAACTTCAGAGAATGGAAAGCTCCAACAATCAACCAAGTAATTACAGTCAGTTGGCAGATCGAGCTTTCATTAGGAAACGGGGCTGGCCGTTTAACCTGTATTAATTTAATCCCTTTTGATTAATTTTTACAGCCATTCCATTCTTCATAATTTCCACTCTAATAATTGGCCAGCTTAATTTCCTCTGTAACTCTGCAGAGTCATTGCATTACAAGTGATTTTTTATTGCTGTCATTTTTCCACCTTCTCTCACCATCTTCCTTTTATTGTTTTGTTTTAACAACAAAGAAAAAGTAATCTCTTTAACCTTCATGTGTTCTTGCCTTTCTATACCTAACATCAAGTTAATTCACTTTTTTCTGCAATTTATGTATGGTTGCATGTCTATAGATTAGAAACACATAAATATAATAATACATTGGAACATCAGTGTAATATCAATTTGTATAGCATTTTGTGCTTTAGCGAAGTCTTTCTAATGCAACCTTGTGATTCATTAAAAACACTTTAAAAATATACTTAGCTCCTAGCCTGGGGTTTGCTGTAAAAAGGACATTTTTAATCAGCTGGAATGGTGGAAATGCCCACCACGCAATAATGGCAGAGTCGGTGCACACCCATGGATGGCAGTAGAGCACCACAAAGCCCCGAGGCCACAGACAGGTTCGGGGTGAGGTAACAATACTCTGGAGCAGAAAATGCCAAGCAGTTGCCGCATTGTCACGGAGCACAAACACACAGCCAACTGCGGATCTGAAGTTAAAACACCGGAGCCGATTACACCTCGGCTAATGTCACAAACATGAGGCRAATGTAAATGATGGTGAAGGGATCAGAGCTGTGCAGAAACATGCTGGAGTCATCGTGTTCTGAGCACACTGGCTACTTTCCTGAGTCGTGATTCATTAATTAACTGATGGACAACAAAGCCTGCAGTCTTCTAAATGCATTAAGATCAAAATCATCCTAAACAAAGTGGGACCTCATTACCATGGCAACTGTTCAAATGGCATAAATAAACCTTGCCCCGAGGTTTGGGTCAGAAGAAACGATAGTGTTTTCAACATAGCTTGCTTAATCTATTATTGGCTCCTGTGGCTCTTTGATTGAGCATACACATTTGGAGTTTTAAACTTTACAGTATAACACCACAGGAGGGCTACAATAGTCAGTCAAACTGATGCAAGAATAAACCTCAGAGAAAAACGAGCTATTCGTATTAACATGCACATTATCTCAATTAGTGGGCAATCAAAACAATAAAGTCTGACATTTTAATTGAAGGTGATCAGAAATTATGGTTGAGGCTCATATGAACACCTTAGGAGCCACACGTTGCATGGTTAGCTTGCATCGGGAAGCCTTTCTAAGCCGAAAAATGATGAAACGGTTTCAAGTATTGACTATGGTTCTATGATAACAAAAAGCCCTCTGCGTTCAAACGTGACTCCATCYGTGCTGATGTGTTTACTTGTGCAGCCACTGTTTTGTTTGTGTGCATCAATAACTAGCACAAACACAGCTTTCTTCCTACTGAGCTATGAAAATGCCTTTAGTCCTCTCGAATGGCGGTTACCACAGTGTGTGTGTGTGTGTGTGTGTGTGTGGGTGTGTGTGTGTGTGTGTGTGTGTGTGTGTGTGTG